GCCGCCTTGCCCAAGTGGTAACTAAGCATAACATCTTCCTGTTTCAACATTCTTAACTTGTATCCCATAGCTCCTAGAAGTTTTTTTTTTCCAAACACTGAATACTGCTAAGTTATGAGTTTTAACAGTTTTTTTTTCTTTTAAACCACAGCACTGAATGTTATTCTAAAATTGTTTTCCAAATATTCTTAAACTCCCAGTTTATCCCCCGCTGATGTTCATTGTGAAAAGTATTGCAGGTCTAATAATAATATTTGGCACTTTTGTAATTCACTGTCCAACATGTGTTTTGTGCCCTCCTCTGGTGGATTTTTAGAGGATAACTGTATAGCTACCAGCTAAGGGAGTTATATCTTGAACTCAAGTAGTAGAAGCTCATGCTTTTAAGTCTGGATGGCTCGGGTTCAATCTTTGGTGACTAGCTATGATGGAGGTTGCTACACTTATAATTCCTTTAATCAGAGGTTCTGAATATGCTTTGTTGTAGGCAGAGCTAGCCTATAGTTAAGTAACCGAAAATTTAGAATGGGAAGTGTTGAAATATTGGGAAGCCTTATAATTTTGCCAGTCTGGAACGAACATCTCATCTGAGGGATGGGGGTGGGGAGAGAAGAGAGTGAGACAGGACCAGGAAACTGGGACAGGGAATCCAGAGTGGTAGTGGGGGGCAGTTGAAATCAAATGAGGAGCTGGGGCTGGTTAGACAGCAATAGGATAGACATAGACTGGAGGGGAAGAAGGGTCTTTGACTACTAGAGACCACTCCGTTCAGGAGCCTGGAATAGAGCCAGGATTCCTAAGTTTCACAGTTCCTCTTCTGTCAGCAGATATCTGTGAAACCCAGTGGCAAAAAGTGTCTCATCCCCCTATGGAGCTGATCTATCACATATAGGATGACAGCCTACTGCCTCTGCCATCACTTACTCCATTAACTCAAGTGGCAGAAGTCTGTGCAGTGGATCTAAAGGTTCATCGGCAGGGTTGGAGCCATGCGAGTTTCATGATGATTCCACAGGACAGAATTTCTGGGGCAGTTCAGTTTTGATTTTTACAAAAAAACCTGGGGAAATGCATACAGAAATAGGGTGACCAGATGCCTAAATAGGGGAATCTCAAGCAGGAGTAGAGAGGTTATTTTATCTCTGTATTTGGCACTGGTGCAACCACTGCTGGAATACTGTGTCCAGTTCTGGTGTGCACAATTTAAGAAGGATATTGATAAATTGGAGAGTGTTCAGAGAAGAGTCACAAGACTGATTAAAGGATTATAAAACATGCCTTATAGTGATCGACTCAAGGCCCTCAATCTATTTAGCTTAACAAAAAGAAGGTTAAGAAGTGACTTGTTTATAGACTGTAAGTATCTACATGGGGAACAAATAGTTAATAATGGGCACTTCAGTCTAGCAGAGAAAGGTAGAGCATGAGCCAACGGTTGGAAGTTGCAGCTAGACAAATTCAGACTGGATATAAGGCATATCTTTTCAATGGTGAGAGTAATTAACGATTAACAATATACTAAGGGTCATGGTGTTTTTCTAAAAGCTTTTTCTAAAAGCTATCCTCTAGGAATTATTTTGGGAAAGTTCTATGTCTGTGCTATACAGGCAGTCAGACCAGGTGATCACCCGATCCCTTCTGGCTTTATAATCTCAGAACTAGGTACATCAATTCACATGCAAAATTCTCATTGAATTCAATAGGTGTCCTTGCCCTGTGGCTTGTGGTGCGGGCTGCAGCAGGGGCCATACAACACCTCTCGCAGCTTCCTAGGGCCCCCTCTCATGGCTCTGTGCACCTGTGTCTGTCATTGTCGTCCTCTCCCCTCCCCCGGCCCCGCTCGCCCAATGTGTCCTGATATTTCACTCTTGCGATCTGGTCACCCTAAGAACAACTGATCACAGTCCTTTTTATAACAGCCCTTAACATAGTTGAAGATTGTAGTCAGGTCCCTCCTCAGTCTTCTTTTCTCAAGACTAAACATGCCCAGTTTTTTTTTTTAACCTTTCCTCAGAGCTCAGGTGTTCTAAACCTTTTATAGCTTTTGTTTCCCTCTTCTGGACTATCTCCAGTTTGTCCATATCTTTCTTAAAGCGTGGTGCTCAATGCTGGCACACAGTTCTTCAGCTAAGGCCTCACCAGTACCAAGTAGAGCAGAACAAGTACCTCCTGTGTTATGCTAAAAGGTATCTCAGTTAAAAACAAAAACAAAATATCAAGGAACCATGAGTACCTAGCAAAACATTTATAACGAGTGCAACCTGATCTTTTGTCAGACAGTAACACAATATTAAACATGATGATACTGATAAGTGTTGTGCAAGAGGGACTTACCTACAGATCTATAAAAATTCTACTGAGATCCTAAGTGAGATTGTAATAAATCTCAGAACACAAAGCTGATAGACATAGCAACGTGGGGTGAGATCTAATTAGATCACAGCACAAGATAACGAGCACTGGACCTGATCCACACTTAGATGGGTGACCTCAAAGGAAAACCCAGAGTATGTTGCAGAACTTTGCTCTGACTCAGTGTTAACCCCCAGCATGTTGCAAAGGGGCTTTTTTACTCAAGACGCTCAAGATTATTATTTTTTTTGTCAAAATGCCTTTTTTGGTCAGAAAAATGCCAATTTGTCAAAACAAAAAACCCTCCATGGGAATATCAGTTTTGATAAAACTTTTGTTGGGGAGATTTACCAGGTCCACAAGGAATTTCTGGTTGAATAAGAGACAAGTGTTGCCTGATTCAGAGCAGGAACTTGACCCTGGTTCTCCTACTTTTCAGGTGAGTACCACAACCACCAGGCTAATGGCTATTCTGGGGTAGCTTATGATGAATGTGGGAATTTTTTGTAATATCTGTATCACTCTGAACCTATCCACTTGGCATCACTATCCCTTGGGTGGGTCTCCCTGGAACATAGGAGATCAGCCTACATATCTGAGAGAGAGCCAAATGGAGTGCCTGGGTTGGAATCAACTTATTTGAATGAAAGGCCCTACAGAGACAATGGAAACCCTAATGACTGAAGATAAACACCTTGCTGAAGAAGCAGCTGCGTATGTGAACACAGCATGGCTGTGTCCGGAGAACAAAGACTCAAGGTATCCGGTGTCTGTGTGAAGTAGAGCAGGGTACACAGACGCAGTGGGGCTCTCTAGGGACTGAGACACAAAGGCGATGGAGAAGATGAGGATAGGCTCCGGGGAAGCAGAGAACAGAAGCCCTGGCTTCACCATCAACGGGAACCATATCCTAGCCTGTCTCTCTTATGCTAACCCAAAGACTTTCAGATTCAGCATGCCAAGTGCCTACTAAATTGTTACCTTGTTTTGAAAAGGTGTCTGAGATCACTGTGCCCTGAAAGGGTGGGGGTGGGGTGGGGAAACAAAAAAAACACTTTCCTGCAGGAGTCTGGCTCCACTAGACTTGATGAGGGAGCCATGGAGAGAGGCAGGGATTGCTGGAGCCTGAAGGCCCAGCTAAAAGCCATAAAGGCCACAGACCTGCCTCTGTGGAATAGTGGGGATCCTTAGGGTGCAGCACAAAAAGTGGTACTCCCAGGAGACAGATTAGAGGCCTGGGTGTAGACCAGACCCTATGAACCCATGACAGGTTTCTGTCTCTCTTGGGGAAGCTGTACCATCTTCTAGAAATAATTAAATATTCTGTGAGAGAGACTGACTCTCTCAGGAGTGAGAGACAGCAGAAATCTTGAAACATTTTCACAGAACGGAAGGACTGTTTCCCACCCAGCTCTACTCTCTACTACTGCGGGTGTCCCATTTCCTGTTAGAGATACGTACAAAGCTGAGAACTTGACTGCTTGTGATTATAAAGAACCTATGGCACTTTTTGCTACATAGAATGTTAGCGCTGGTCTCCTGGCCAAATCCCAACATCCGTAACTACATTCTGGTTATGGGATAGTATTCTTAATTTCCTGCCCTAGATGTCTGTTACACTACTTTCACACTTTTAAACAGTGGCATCCCACTAGTGGCTGCTTTTCAATGGTGGAGAAAGTGATTGCTGCATTTGCAACGCATTTTAGGTTCCTCCAAGTTGAAATATACAGTATAATGACATTTTAATTGGTTCACTCTGCCATGTAGTTGCCCATTTTTTTTAAAAAAAGAGATTGCTTTAAGGTTTCAGGAAATAAATTTAAAAAGTTCCTTTTCCAATGGAAAAGGGGAGGAGATCTGAAAATGGTGACCTTGATGACATTTTCCATTTCAAATATATCTTGTATTGTACATTCATGCCTACCAGCAAGGAATCTCTGGGAGAGGCTAGTATGAAACTGTAAGGCATTTACAAACTGATGCTTTACTTTTTTAATACTTTGCACTTGTAGTCCCTTCCATCCAAGATCTCAAAGCTGCTAAAGCCTTGAGCTGCTGCTGTTATATACATTAAGCATGAAAGGTGATTAGAATTTATCAAGTAAAAAAGTTAATATGCATTTCTATCTTTGAAAAATTAATGTTAAAATTAGGTCAACATCCATTTTATTATGCCCAATATTTTTTGCAAAAAAACACTATTTTTCTGTGTAGTACAAAGCAAAAAAAATACTGAGTTGCTCAAGAAGTCTATTTTATAGAGAAATTATACATTTACACATTAACTTATTTTGCTTTTACAACTCTAGTAGGACATGACATAGTAATTAATAAGGACTCAATCCTGCAAGATGCTGGGCACCCTTAACTGCCATAGGAGTGAAGGGTGTTCAGCACTTCACAGGATTGAGCCCTTAGCGCCCATGTGACTCCTTTAAATTCAAGAAGTGCATAGACTCTAGTGCTGCAGTTACATACATGTGTAGAGAGCTATGGAGATTTTGACAGTCTGTCACAGGATGTTCTGCATACTAAAATGAATCCAGGACACAGTACCGGCTGCCTGAATGTAGGTAGGAGGATCAATATGTTTTGCAGACAAGGAGATTAATCTAGAGCAACAAGCTATTTACAGTGGTGCCAATCACAGGAGGTGAGAAGAATATGTCCTGACTTACAGGATTGTCAAAATTTGTAAATGTATAACGATAAGCCTGTCAGACTGTGCCCTTATGCTGATGGATTTGAAAATACTTGATGAAACACTTTTAAATGTGGCCACATTATAATTAGAATATTTTTTTCCTGAATAGAAATGACAATCTCAGACAGCATTGCATTTTGCTTATCACAGTTATTCCCCCAGCACTGGCTATTACCAATTCACCATATCATTTACACACTTAAGATATTCTGTTTGTTTCAATTACTTTTCTCTCCAGTCTCGACTGGCTGTATAGGCTAGATAACCGAAGATGTACTCGAATCTTTACCTTATGAGTGAAGTCAGATTCTGTAGGCTGAGGTGTTTTAGTTTCTACATACTACAGCTCATGCCTTGTAGTCCTTGAAGTCACCTTGCTGCTTCACTCTACAGCTTAGTAACAAACAGCACTGCAGCACTTTACAAAGTGGGGAACAAAACTCACAGTATTCTAAGAAGGGTTTTGTTTTTACCAGTGAGCGGAACAGTATCATCACAATTTTAACTTTGTTTTCTAATTTACTGGCTTTACCTATAGCACGGTGTTAGGAGCAGACTGCTTATTTTGCATCATTGCTGCACACAGTCTAGACAAGTTTAGAAGGCAGACCACTATTCTCTGTGTTTCCAGTTGAAGTCTCTATTTTTGTGGACATGTTTTTAAATTAATTCTGACTCCAGTCCAAATAGTTCCAAACTTCTGTCTGTGATGCCCTCAAGTAGTGAGTCAACCTATTAATAACTACCTCCTCCCATGATTTTACCATCAAGAAATGCACATGATTAAAGTGAATAATTAGTTATTTTAGTAACCCTTGCACCATTCAGGCTACTGTTCATTACCCGCTCTCAAAGCATCATGTCTAAATTTAGGTCCTTACCCTTCAGATATTACCACCAGTAGTCCCACTGATGTCAGGGACTATTTCTGGGAGTGCACAGTGTTTGCAGGATTGGGCTGCAACCAACTCCATGCAGGTGCAGGGAGCAACTCACCTGAAGCCATTTACAGGATCAGACCCTTAGCTTGTAACCTCTTTATAAAAGGACACAGTCCACGGCCTAAAGTGCCGAGCACATTTTCAAGCAGCAAAGTCATTTATTATAATAAATCTAGATGTTTATGGAGTTTTTGCACTAACTTATGTTTCTTCAATCCTAGTGTTCTCATAATTTTTTCAGCTTTTGTAAGTGTCTACTCAGTGAAAGAGAGTTTATAATCTGGTAACTCATTAGCTGTCCTTTCTGGCATCAGACTCCATAAAAGCAGCTCACCAACTACAGATAAGTAAGAACAAGGATGAACCAAATCAGTACACATTTCTCAAAATTCTTGTGCATAAAGAGTAAGACCAGGAAGATACAAGAAGTATATTGCTCCGATGTTCAAGGCCTGTTCTGGAGGAGACATACTCAACCCCTTTGCCTGCCTGAGAAGAATCCTGTCTTGGGATTTATTTATTTTTTATTTAAAAAATAGTTATGGCAGGTTTTCATTCCATCTTAACTAGATTTTAGGCAACTTTAAGAATCACCTCAACATTCAAGTTGTGTTGTGCAGGTAATTTAAAACAGTGGTTCTCAAACTAGGGCCGCCGCTTGTTCAGGAAAAGCCCCTAGTGGGCCGGGCCGGTTTGTTTACCTGTCGTGTCCGCAGGTTCGGCCGATTGCGGCTCCCACTGGCCAATGGGGGCTGCAGGAAGCGGCGCAGGCTGAAGGATGTGCTGAATGCCCTTCCTGCAGCCCCCATTGGCCTGGAGTGGCGAACTGCAGCCAGTGGGAGCCACGATTGGCTGAACCTGCGGACGTGGCAGGTAAACAAACCGGCCCGCCCCGCCCTGCCAAGGGCTTTCCTTGAATAAGCGGTAGTCCTAGTTTGAGAACACTGATTTAAAATGTACTAGTGCTGGCCAAATACTAAAAAAAGTTAAGTGAATCTTGCCATTATTAAATCAAATAATATATTTAATGACTTATTTGGCCTGCTACAAAACTGGTTAAGTACAGAAAAAACTTGTAGAATAAAATATTCTATGAATCTTGGCAATATTCATCAAATTAGGTATCTAGCAAATAGCATTTAGGTAGATCTAAACATTATATAGATTATGTTTTAAGTTACTAGGAAAGAAAATTTAAGTCTAAGGTCCTTTAGTGTAGCTTTCTCAGAAATGCATCCATTTCCACGGTCAGGGCCAGCTAGAAGAGGAGACTTTTATGGTCCCAAAACATGGATGAGAAGATGAGAGAAGAAAAAAGGAGGGATTTAAGTTTATTAGAAACCGAGGAATGAGAAAGAAAGAACCTAAACCAAAAGGGATGGGCTCTACCAAGAGTGGAACCAGACTGCTGGCACAGAAAACTGACAGGGTTAGTTAAGAGGTGGCCATGTTGATAGCAGATGAGTTTCACTGCTGACCAAAGCAAAGGGAAGAAAAAAATTGAACTATTCATAACTATTGTTGGGTTCTAAATTAACTCTAACCCCTCAATATAGAGACCATGGGATCTTCATGGACAGCTCAATGAAAACCTCTCTCCAGGAGCAGTGGAAGTCACAAGAAAAAACACAGTTAATATGTATAAAGCTTGGGATAGAAAATACTGACATTATATTGTCATTATATAAATCTTGCCTGGAATACTCTATCGAGTTCTGTTCACCTAACATCAGAAAGAAAAATGATTCAGAAAGGGGTGAAGAAAGTGGTTAAGGGGTACCAAGAAATTCTGTATTTAGAGAAATTAAGATTGAGACTGCTTAGTTTAGAGAAAATAATTGAAAACACGAGCGGTAGTGAATACAAAATAGAGGCAGAGAGGACTGGCCAATGGTTAAAGCGTTGCTCTGGGACTCCAGAGACCCTGCTTCAAGTTCCTGCTCTGCTACAGCCTTCCCGTGATCCTGGGCAAAGCACGGAGACTGTATGCCGGAAATGTAAATTCCAGCTGGAGGAGAGACACCCTGATCAGAGCTTGCACAGGCAGCATGCTAAAAAATGGCAGCATGACGGGCTAGCCATCTGAGTATGTACCTATAGTTTCAGATGGGATTGTACTTGAAGAATCAAACCTATCCTGCTGTTTGTTGCTACACTACTATTTTGAGCATGCGAGTACCTGTCTGTTTCCTCAAGCATAATATTGCACCTGCAGCTCAAAGTATAGATATAGTCTCTCTGTGGCTCAGTTCCGCCATCTGTAGTAGTACTTCCCTATCACAGGCATGTTGTGAAAATAAAATACTTTGAAGATCAAGAGACACAATAGAAGGTGTATAAGCATGTACAAACTGGACAGAAAAGGTAAACTGGATGCTTCTCTTTACCCTGTCATAAAAACAGGAACAAGGGAACATTCAATGAAGCTGAAAGGCAATGAGTTTAGCATCAAGACATTTTTATACAATGAATAATTACCTTGTGGAACTCACTGCCACAAGACATAAGTGAAGCAGGATTCAGAAAAGGAACAGACATTTATATGGACAGTTATATTGTTTCTATCCTATCTAATGTAAAAAGGGATACAAGTCCTCATGCTTCAGGACATGGTCCACGCACTTATAGGTTAAGGAAGAAACTATCCCTATTGACAAGATTATTCCATGGTTGTCTACTCTAGTGTGTGTAGTTTCTTGCACCTTGCTTCTAGATACTGCCAGAAACAGGATTGTGGACAAAACGGATTAATTAGTTGGTGTTCCCATCTCGGTTATTCTACTGGAAATCCCAAGTAGCTCTGTAGGGTTCAGTTGAGTTGGTATCTTCCAGTGCACCTTAAATGCAGTGAGCCAGATTTTAACAGTTTAGTAAGAAGTAAGTTGCCTGTAAGGTTACTCAAGCAACACCTCTCCTGTGCTGCTGCTGTCAGTGGGTAGAATAATTAACACCTGCCAGAAGGAAGAAAGGAAAGGCTAGATCCTGCAACTGGCTTCACGGGGGCACATCTCTGCACCTGCATAGAGTCCCATTCAAGTTATGGAGTTCAGCCTAGGTGGGTGTAGCCCTGTGGGAATAGCTTGTAAATGAGGTGGTCTCCGTTCAGTGCTTTATGTTCAGTTGCTTTATTGAGAACTTCAGCTCAGTATTTGTAACTGTTTGGACATTTACCATTATGAGATTTTAATCGCTTCTTTTAGATAAGAACTAATTCCTTTATATTTAAAAATTGTATTTTTTAAATTTGTGTTTTTAAACAAACAAGTTGAGTAGTTTTGCAAACCCGTGAACTGTATTAATCATTTTGCCAGCGTCAGACTTTTTTCAGCTCTTCTCTCACAGTCAAAAAATTTGACAAACAGCCATAACTGAAATGATTCATGTTTCTAAATTGTAGAATATGTGCAACATGCTATGCTAACGACTATCATGTTTATTTTTAGGATGTTTAATCAATCTGGCTGGTTTCAGCAATATTTTCATCAGACAAGCTTGCAGTAAGTTACCCCCGAGTTCTGGTTGCCATGGCATAACAATGATTTCTTTAATCCAAAAAAACCCAAAACAAAACACCTTCAACAATGTATTATCCATAAAAAGCCCCAACAAAAAAAACAAACAACTGTTTCTATTCCATCCACCACATTCTATTATGTGAAACTACTAAAGCCTGGCTCCAACGTTAGGCCCTAGTACAGTTGTACTCAGGACCACAGTACAATGTCTTGTCATTAGTATTTTAAAATGCTTATTTTATACACAACAAAGCAAACCACTGAACAAAATAAGTCTGGGCACTTTTTACAATGTTTAAAAAAAATATAACCAACACCACATTGAAATAAAGTGCCATATATTGCAGAATTTATGGCCATCAGTCATAATTCCTCTAGATCTGCATATCCTATCTCCCACCTTGGGTAACCTCTACAGCTCTATCGAAAGAAATTCAACTTGCCCCGTATCCAGACACTGGAGAGAAAAAGAGAAGCTTTTCATGACATCAAGAAGGTTAATAAATCTAGGCTCTGGAGAGAAAGCAGGAGAAGTGAGACAGATCTCTTACTGGTCCCCCAACCACAGTCCTTTCCCAGAGCTTTCAATCTGGATCTAATGCATCACTGAATCTGACTCGTGCAGAAGGTGCACTACAGCAAAAACACAGAACTATGGATGGTAAAAATGTAACAAACCAGTGGAAAGGTGCACCAGCAGTACAGACAAAGGCACTTGTTAACTCCTGAGGAAGATATAGCAGCAGCAAAACTGGTCATTCCACAGCAGAATGCCATAATGTACTAGAAAACAAAGTGACAAACCAGCTGTGTAACAATAAAATTATATATAAAGGCACAACTGAAAAATGAAGTTGTTACAATGCAAAGAGGTTTTTGAAAACAGTTTGACACCTTCCAGATTTGCCTTGCCCAGCTGCAACTTCCAAACTGAAATAATTCTTGCCCTGTTTCTAGAGCCACAAAAGCAAAATTAAAAATAAAAACCTCAGCATTGCCATAGCAAGAACTACACATAAACCAATCTTCCTATATGTCAAAAAACATGCAGTAAACCAACCACTTTCCTCACAGGGAAGACAATCATTCAAATAAGAATATGGAAATTCTGGAGGTTTCAGACAAGCTTCCAAAAGCCTGCACACTTATCTGAACTACCCAAGTCTATAGTGGTCCCACAGCCATCAATTTTCCTCTCCACCCCACCCCTGCTCTCATAGTCTATGTGGACTAACTCTCCCCACAGCCCCCTTCAGTAGGAAAAGAACAGTACTGATGACCTGCTACCATCAGATACCTTCTCAACTCCCACACTGGATTGAGAAATTAAGCCAAATTAGCTTCTCCTGGTTCCTCTGCACACATGGAATAGATTCAGTCAATCAGGAATCTTAAAGAATTAACATGTGACTTTATTAGTGGGATAAAACCCAACCAGTGAAGCTTGAAAAATAAATGAAAAGCCACATTGAAATTTTCACTGACAGCCAGCTATTAGAAGAATATTGTGCTCAACTCTGAGCAATCTTTTGTGGATGCAACATACTTAAAATGAATGTTGTGTCCCCCTTTAATGACTAGCCCTTCTAAAGGATAGCAGCTTTCTAGCTAAACAGAATTACTTTAGTTCAAGTAGAAGAGGTCTGTGCACTGATGCTGAAGGTAACAAGTTAAAATACAGTCAATGATCTCTGTGGGGGTTGTGACAAAATTAGCATCCAAGTAATCTGGAGCTCTTGAAGACCAGAGATGACATTCCCTTATCAGGATGGGAAGAATAAGTGACAAGCTGGTGAAATGTGTCAATACTCTCTCTAGTGGTTAGTGCATGGAAGATAGCAGCATTCTACCGCTGCCAGCTAAGGGAGTTGCTCGAGCAATAATGATGTGTGCTGAAAATTCCCCACTGGTCCCTGTCACCGTGCCTCAGTGGGTCACAGCTGAGAATATGAGATTCAGGACAAACTACTGAGAACTAGAGCAGACTCACCCCAAGCTGGTGGTTATTGTCATTAGATTATACCAAGCCAATAACAAAAGTAAACATCTGTCTCACTATAATGGTTAACAAGAAGTCAAAAGTGCAGTCCTGTTAGGCATTTCAGCCTTATTTCACCACCCAGACACTAGACTATCATGAGTAGTTACTGAAAACCAATTTCATCAAACAAAGGGTTCTTCTGATCTCAAGAGATCAGCCACACAGCCAGGTCAATAACTCAGATCTTACCCAATAATCACACTGCCACCAATCCATTAGAAAGTAAAATCTAAAGGTTTATTAATAAAAGAAAAGAAGAATGTTAAAAATACCTAATAGATCATATACATACAATAGTGGCAATGTTCTTATATCAGGTTTGTAGCAGTGATGTTATAGGCTGCTGGCTTGCAAAGTCTCTGGTAACTTCCAAAAGATTGGGAGGTCCTCAGTCCATGGTCCAGTATGTTCCTTTTGGTTGTAAATTCACAGTCCAGAGAATCAGAGCAGGAAAGAGGCAAAATGGTATCATTCCAGGGGTCTTTTATACCCTTTGTCATGTGCCTGGAAATTTACTAGTTCAAAACACAGCTCACAGCCAGAGTGTGCTGATGGAAAGTTACTGGCACAAGATGGAGTTCAGGGTCACATGAGCATTTCACATATCCTTACATGGTTTGCTGACTAACGGGGGTAACCATTGGCCCCTTGGAGGCTAAGGCATTAGCAGGAAGAGATATCTGGGCAGAATGAGTTTCTGCTACAGCCCACTGTGAGAGCTAGTGTCTTTGATGGGCCATCCACACAAAACTGTCTAGTCTTATCTAGTAGGTGTTTCCCAGGAATACAGCACGCATATAAGGTATCAGTGCATAGCAATATTCATAACTTCAGACATAAAAATGATACATGCATATAAACAGGATAATCTTATTTAGCAAATCATAACTTTTCCATTGACACCTTACATGACATACTTTGTACAAGATTTGTTGCAATTGTCTAACAGTATTTCAATCATACAACATCACAGTCCCATATCACAGAATCATAACCACATATTGACAAGGCCGATGGACTCACTGGCTGATCCCTTAGGACAGTGCTCTTTATTTCCATCTTTTAGTAAAGGCAGCATTTTAAATCACAGTTATACCTGCAAGAAGACTGAATCCTTTCACTGGATTTTACAGGAGCAAAGTTGTCCTGTGGCCTCATCTCAAGTTTACATCAAAAGTAGTATGTGAGTACTCCCTATGTTTTTCCCAAAATATCATCCTCAACTGGGAAAAGCAGGTTTTAAGAAAAGAGGGTGAATAAGCCATCTAAATTTGGAAGTCTTTGGGGATCAGTGTAACGAGAATGCCATTTCCACTCAGTGCTTGTCCAAGTGGATTAGGCTGTACATTGAGACGTGTTATGGTATATGTTAGCTACTGTGTCAGTACTTCAGGATCTTAAAACTCACTCTACCAGTGCTAAGGCAGCATCACTGGCTTGCATTCTGAAAGTTTCCATCCTAGAAACCTGCAGGTCTGCTACGTGGAGTTCTCGTCGCAGATTTACTCTGCACTACTCTCTTTTCTTAGCATACAGAGTTGATGCTTGGTTTGAGAGAGCAATTCTGCAATCCTTAGTGTGCTGTTCCTGGGCTCTTGGCTTTTGTAGAAGGAATTAAAGTGGTTAGAGCTACACGACCCTTTTATAATCTGAGCTCTGAACAGTCACTATCATGAGAGGGTGTTTCTGGTGTCCTAATGATCACAGCTTTCCAGAAGGTTCCTGTAGTTCTGTAGTGCCAGGGCACATCCCACAAGTGCGTATTGTGACAAAGTTCCTCCACTACCTTGGTGGGTCCTGCGCGTATTGGCAGATTTTCTTGCCTCAGAGATTCAGCATGTGGGTTGCGGAACAGCCCAGATACCTTCCCCTCTGGAAGAACCCACAGTCCAGGTCAATTGGGAGGTTTGGGGGGAACCCAGGCCCACCCTCTACTCCAGGTGAGGCCTTGTGGACTACAGCTGTCTATAGTGCCTCCTGTAACAGCTGCATGACAGCTACAACTCCCTGGGCTACTTTCCCATGGCCTCCTCCAAACACCTTCCTTATTCTCACCACAGGACCTTCCTCCTGGTGTCTGATAACACTTGTACTCCTCAGTCCTCCACAGCATACCCTCCCAGCTCCTCACACTCACACCACAAACTGAAGTGAGGTCCTTTTAAAAACCCAGGTGCCCTGATTAGCCTGCCTTAATTGATTCTAGCAGCTTCTTCTTAATTGGCTCCAGGTGTCCTAATTAGCCTGCCTGCCTTAACTGGTTCTAGCAGGTTCCTGATTACTCTAGTGCAGCCCTTGCTCTGGTCACTCGGGGAACAGAAAACTACTCATCCAGTGACCAGTATATTTGCCCTCTACCAGACTCCTGTACCCCACTGGTCTGGGTCTGTCACAGTATATTCAGAGGAACACTCTTACAAAAGAAGCTACTATAGGAAGTAATTGTTTTATTTCTGTGTGAAATAGATTCATGGACATTAATTTCCACACAAATGAAATCAGAATCATGCCATCTGACACTGAGAAGTGCTTGCATTGCCTAGCAATGGGGAATGTGAGTGGCAGCAACATACGCATAGTTGGGAGCACTCATGATGCATAGCAATGGGCTTCCCAGGAGCAGTGCAAGCAGCGGCATTCATTTCTCTTGCTGGAGAATGCTCCTGGACAGAACCAGGAGCATAATGCAGTAAATCTCATTCCAGGAGCAAGTTAATGATTCATAAAAATCTACAGAATCATAATTTCAATTGTCACACTCTGCTGTGTGGCTGGCTCCCAGCTCCAGGTCCTCCAGTTGGTGACAATGTTGATAATACAGTATATCAGAAATGGGTCCAGTTGGGTATAATTTGAAAGCCCTTTCTCACACAAACACAATAGTACCAAACATGACAAAACTAGATCAATTATGTAGATATACAGTCAAGAAAATGTTTAAAAACCAACATTTTTTAAAGTTATACTTTACCACAGGGATGCATTGCTTACATAAGAAATAAAAAATCCCACAACATTGATCTTTGGTAATCCTAGGGAAGTTACCCTCGACTTGTAGGATTGAAAACATTTATTCATCAAAGTCATCATCAGTGTCATCTCCTTCTAGGACACCATTGTTAGACATGTTGTCACACTGATCCTCATCTGTGCCACACAGCTTCGTACTAGGCAGGCCAAACATTTGCAGGATGGTCTTTGTATATGAGCATTTGATTAGCGGAAGGATTGAGTCAGGAGTGCCTGGTATTTCACACATAACTGCTGTGATCAGTCCATCCTCCAAGAGCCACCCAGGCCCAGTAGGGGAGGCTAGTTTTGGATCTGCTCAGTCATCCCAGAGCCATTCCATTGCTTGATAATTTGCCCTTTTCATAGCAGGTATTTTTCTCCGTTAGTCTGCTTTCTGGAAAATATTCACCAATGTAGCTCTGCAAGTGTCATAATGTTGGTCTCCAAAGGGTAAACTCGGCATATGGACATCTACAGTGCATTTATGACCACAGTGACTGCCTCAGACATTCTGAGCACCTTCAGGGCAAGGACAGTCTTTGGAGGCTGAATAAAATGCCTTCAAGTAAGATAATTTAGTCTTTTTAGCCAGCCTTTCCATGGTGTCATGTCCTGGAAGGGCATGGAAACCTGGCAATGTACTGGCTCTTAATGGTCCGAGTGATAGGAATACATGTCTGAGGGATATACAGCAATTCTGTTTCCCAGCAGCTGGTACAGAAACAGAATCTTGAGCAAGTCTTGGATAGCATCTCATAGTGATCACTAGAACATCTGTGTCTTGTGCAAAAATCTGGAGCTTAGTAGCACCAATCTCTGTGGCTTTGATAACTGTAACAAGGTTGAGACTCACTGGCATGGCACCTCCTTCTGGTCATCTTGGGAATTAGCTCAACTCCAGCTCTGGGTGCTTCCTTCTGGCCAGTGTCTCACCTGCCTTAGGCCCCGTGTCCCTCCTGGACCCCGGTGCCCTTTTTTCAGGGTTCTGCCCCCAGCAGACCCCCCTTGCTCTGGGTTTCCCCTCCCAGGAAAACCCCCCACCCTCTAAACCCACCTTGCCTCAGTGGCTACTGCCAGTCGTCATCTATCCCCCGCTCACTGGGGCAGACTGCAGTCTGTAATGGCCACTCATCATTGGCAAGGGGTTAGGACCAGCTGCCTCTGCCTAACCCTGGGCTGCACCTCTGTAGCCCCAGTACCTTTGTAGACCTTCACCAAGGCCTGAAGCCTGGGGGTTTATCAGGTTGGAGCTCCCCAGCTCCTTTTGCCCTTCCCCAGCACTGGTCCACTTCAGGTACCCTGCTCCCAGGCAGCTAGCCCTACCCACTCCAGGACTAGAGTGAGACTTTCCTGTCTTCTGGCCCCACAGCCCTTTTATCCGGGCCAGCTATGGCCTGATTAAGCCAGCCACACCTGGGGCCAACTACCTCGCCAGCCTCCCTCAGCTGCTCTCACTCCTTTTATCCCAGCCACAGCCCTCTCCAGGGCTGCTTTTAACCCCTGTTCTGCTGGAGAGGGGCAGCCGCCCCACTACAATGACATCTTGCATGCCAGCATCCTCATAGGAACTACAAAGAAACTCCACTGAACAGTGTGAGGCAGCAGCTTCATAATGCCATGCAACAATGAAATTCTTTGAGCAATTCTCATGCTGGAGCATTTTTCCTGAAAGGTATGCAGTTAACTCTTCCTTCATACAAATACGAGGCATTAGCTTCTTCATTGTAACATTGGAGATGTTTGTGGGGTCAATGGAGAGGTGCAGCACAATAGACTCTCTTCTTTCTGGAAATGTTTTTAGTGGATTCCTCTGCATACATATCAAACATAAGGTGGATTTCATCATAGGTCCAGTATTTTCTCTGTAGCCTCATAATGAAGTGTTCAGGCAAATCTTGTCAAGTGTTAACAGTTTCTGGTTTGTCGAGATCTTGTACCTCAGCCATACCATGTATGATTGCTATGCTGGCATAAGATACCAGTCATGTTGTCAGTAGGTGTGGGTTTAGGAAGACCATGCAAGATGTGCATTAGTTTGCTTTTTGTCTGGCACTTATACCTTGTTCTATCTCATTCGAACATCAATTTTGGTGCCGCAAAGAACTCATAGTTTCCTAAAATCTCATGTAGCTCAACAACATGCTGAGATCTGGACATGACCAGGAGCTGATAAAACAATGACCTATCTGTGGTTAGCTCTGTAATAGTCCCTGCCACCTTCACTCTTTGCATTCGAGCACAGCTTTAGTCTATTCTTCTGGATTGGAGCCCATAGATTGACAGAGACTTGGATATGTCTTTGGGTTCTGAAGGTTTCATACATGGTCATGACCCAACATATCCATTTGACTGACATCACTGAAGACTGCTTTTGTCATGATATTAACGAGCTCCAGTCCATCATATGCAAATGGGTTGCTAATAGGAGTAAACTCATTCTGTAGCTTTAAAATTGCCCCTTCTTGGCCTTTAACAGCACCTAATGGGTCTAGATGGTGCTTGATTACTTTTGGGGAAGTCAACCCAGCCATGCTTAATGTTTTGTTCAAAAGTTTGATGTAGTTCTAGGGTTGACATCCCTCGGCCCGCGCTGCTTCCCGCAGCCCCCATTATCCTGGAACGGTGAACTGTTGCCAGTGGGAGCTGGGATCAGCCGAACCTGCGGACGCTGCAGGTAAACAAACTGTCCCAGCCTGCCAGCAGATTTCTCTGATGGGCTGCGTGCCAAAGGTTGCTGATCCCTGGTCTCGGTGCAGGGGATTGGATCTTCTTCTTAGCGTATGCACAATGTGCTTCGGGTGGCTTGTGAGCAGGATTCATCACCAAATTTGGTCAGCTGGTTGAATCATTAGCTTCCCCGGCTTGAATAGGGTACTGACAGGGAGTGTGACATGAATGCTGATCCATGGAGGGGACAAGATTAAATGATTTACCAAGGTTCCTTCCAGCCCTAGATTTCTATGATCCCGGACTATTTCTATTTCTTGGGCTAGCATGAGCACTCGTGCGTGTCTGCTCCTAGGAAAGCTCACACTGGCTGGTAGCTGGTGGTCATGTGCTTGTGCTGTCCCTGGGAATCCCATCGACCAGCCCCTGCTGGGAAGTTGTGAAAATCCATTTAATTCTCTTTATTTTCCTGCCCTTTTCAAATACATGAAAATTGCAAGAATTAACTGAGAGAAATAATTTCTGTTTTACATTCTACGAAGTGGAGGTGAGCTACCTTAGCAGGGTTCCTGTTTCTGCAGGCTACTCAGTCCTTAGCATGCAGAGGCTATTCTCATAGATAACACTGGCCAATTCCTGCAGGTTTGCTTGGATGGCTGGGTTCTGTAAAACCCCAGTGGGTTCCCTACATACCACGCTAACCTTTTAGACATTACTATATCCCTCCCTCTTAGGGTATGTCTACACTACCAAATTAAGGCACCTTAAGTTAGGTTGACTTACAGCCACTACAGTAATTAAATCGGCGGTTCATGTCCACACTGACCACTGGAACCCCACCGCCCGGGCTGACCACTGGCGCACTGCTGCCAGCCCATGGTGGCGAGGCTGTGACAGTTAGCCTGGGGTGGTGGGGCTCCGGCGGTCAGACCCGGGGCGGTGGGGTTGACAGCTTGGGCTGTCAAAGGTAGCAACAGGTGATGTAAGCAATGTAGTGTCTACACAGCCACTGCATCAACCTAACTACATCTACTTAAGTGCTACGTATCTCACAGAGGTGGAGTTGTTAGGTGGGTGTAGTGGGCGACTTACATCGGTGGGAGCAACATTGTATGTCGACGCTTACTGAGTTAGGTTGATATAAACTGTCTTACGTCAACCTAACTCTGTAGTGTAGACCAAGCCTTAGGGCATCCTCAGCTGCAGCAGGAGTGTTTTCTCTGGTCCTGTTGTCTGTAGGGAAGGGCAGGTGCCTTCTATCTTCCTAGGCCACCTTTTGAAGGCTTAGAGGACAGTGGCCCTATATGTTGGTATAGTGCGGGAGTGAGACCCCAGGATGCAGCAGGTGGGTCAGCCCCCTGCCCCCTTCCCCAAGGTCCAAGAATGAAATTACTGTTGGAGATCTTGGCTCCTGGGAATGGTGAGGCACAATGCTGTCCACAGGCCAGCTCTGTGGAAGATTATGGGCTGTACTGGTAGTTTGGGAAATTGGCTAGCATGCTTGATACCCACAGCAAAAATTCAGATTCACTTGTGATCTTACTCCTAAATTTCAGCAATGCTACCTATGCTGGGCTCCTCAACCCTCTTTTCAGCCTTTCCTACTAGATCAATGCTATGCATCATGCTCAATTTCTGTTTTGTTTCACTACTCACATCTCTTCCCTCTTTTTTCTTCACCTCACAGCTCAGCTTCCAATCCAAGAGCAGTGCTTTAAAATTCTCACTCAGACATTTAAAGCCCTATCCCTAACTGACCTTTCCTACCTTTTTTTCTTTATCTACCCACTCTACTTTCTGTTCATGTCCTTTGATCATCATCTCACAATCTTCTGAATGTGACGTATTCTTTTACTAGTGTTTCTAAATATTGTCTCTATTCTCTTCTAGTTCTAGTCCTTTGGAACTCTCTTCCATTCCATCTTTTATTTTCCTGACTCTTCATTTTGAAACTGCTCTCAAAACCACTGTCTTTTCCTTCTTTTAATGCTACTTCTTCTAATGAGATGATGTCACTTCACTTCCTCATGGCATCTCTCAATATTCTGTAGTTCTTGGAAACACCCCGTAAATTAGTGTTTGCTATCTATGCTTTTATTGCTGTATCTTTTGTCACCTTTCTCCACAGCTTTGGACCAAAGATACTTTAAACTCTGATCCTGCAAAGAGTTATGTCCATGCTTAATTTTACATACTGTGAGTAGTCCCACTGAAGTCAATAGGACTATTCAGCACATAAATATAAGCATGGGTGTTAGTCTTTGTGGGATTGGGGTCATAACATTTAACAATTCCTGAACCCACTGGATTTCTGGTGAGGTTGGACTTCAGCACAGCACTAATATAAATTTTGTGGAGTGTAAAACAAGTTGTAATTGTTCTGAGACCAGGTCTTGCAATCTAAAATAGTTCTGTGCAATCTCCCTTCTAGCTGGTCAATAGTTTTTTTTCTGCCATGTGACTAAAACAGGCCTCAGTAGAGTAACTGAAGGTGCAGCCCATTTATTGCCAAAAGACACTGTATATGTAATGTTGACTGAATGCTCCATTTGGGGAATATATTCTTGCTCTTTTGTTACCTTTCAAGCTTTTCAGTTGGACTGTAGGAAAAATAAACCTTCTGGAAAACAATAAAACCAAAATGGAATGAAAATTAAAAATGTTTAATATAGTCCAGGGGCACCAGAAGGTTCACACAAAAGCATTTTGAACAGAAACAAAATTTCAGAATGAATGTAGGGAATAGAAACCCCCAGTATCCCACAATACCTGTAGTGACCATTCTGCTCACTGTTTTGAACTCAGCAGCCCTGCAGGCATGCGCCCCTCCCCTTTCAAAGCTCCTTTCTGACAGCTAAGCCTGCTGCTCTGCTCCGGGCAACAAAGAGCAAATCATTAACATGGAATGTTCCTTTTCTCTCCCACACTACAAACACAGAGGCAGGCAGGGGTGGATGTGTGTGTGTGTGAGAGAGAGAGAGAGAGAGAGACAGACACACACACACACACACACACACACACACACACACACACACACACAGACAGACAGATAGACTGACTACTGAGCAGTGTTCCCTCTAATTTTTCCCACACGTGTAGAAATAATTTTATGTGACACATCACCTCCATATTGGTGCACATAAAACAAAATTCATGTGGCGGGGGTGGGCCGAGGGGTTTGCAGTGTGGGAGGGGGCTCAGGGTTGGGGCAGAGGGTTGGGGTGCAGAGGGGTGATGGCTCCAGCTGGGGATGCAGGCTCTAGGGTGGGGCCAAGGATGAGGGGCTCAGGACTGAAGCAGAGGGTTGGGGTGAAAGAGGGGGTGAGGGCTCCAGCTGGTGGTGCGGGCTCTAGGGTGGGGCTGGGGATGAGGGCTTTGGGGTGCATGAGGGGGATGGAGGAGGAGGTTGGGGGGTTAAGGACTCCAGCTGGAGGTGCAGGCTGGGGTGAGGGGATTGGGGTCCAGGCTGCCCCGGGGCTCGGTGGGGAGAGAGGACTCTCCCTAGCTCTCTCTCCCCGCAGCAGCACCTGGTCTGGGGGGGAGGTGGGAGAGGCGCCTCTCCCCATCATGGCACCTCCAGGGCTGAGGTACCTTTTTCCCATCTGGCAGGTCGGAGGGGCTGGGCTGAGAGAACCGAGCTTAATAGGCTGCTGCACGGCTACGCAGCTTAGAGGGAACTTAGCTGCTGAGCTGTGCACTGGTTGCTTTCGGCAGCTGGCTCAATTTACGAGACAGCATGCCGACATATTCACTCTCCCCCAAAACACACTCTGTCTCTCCTCCCTCCACACGCTCCTTGTCACACACTCTTCCCTCCTCCCCCCACCCACTTCAGTTGAAAAGCAGCTGGCAATCTAGTAGGATGCCCATGGAATAATGGGATTGAGAAAACTGCATAATGTGACACTGTACTTGCCCCATGAGGCACTGCAAACCCTTCCCAAAGCTGCTCTGTTCTCTATGTCACTGCAAGAGCTGCTAATGTGTGTAACCCTTCTGCCAGTCAGAGCTGGCAGCAACAAAGGCCAGGCTCAGTATCTAGAGGTTCCTTTTCAACAAGATATCACAAAACTGGCTTGAGCCCCCACCCATTGACCTGGGACAATCACATACCATCCCTGGGCGCCACCAGGAGGCAATACTTCCCCTCTCGCAAGCCCGGAGTCTGAGTGTAGCAAAGAAACTTTTAATAAAAGGAGGGAAGTAACCTGGTGTTAATTCGGGAAAATGCCGCAAATAGGGTTCATAAACATAAACCATGAGCAAAAGACCCATCCCTCTCCCCGCCCCTCCCTCCCCGAGTAATTGGACAGTGTCCTTTTCCCTTAGGTTCTTAAGTCCAGCAACCAAAAGTCCCTTTAACGTGTCCATCCCTTCTCTGCACCCCACTCACACTTGTCCTGGTCAGTGCAGGCCCAGAGTTCAGAGGTATATCTGGAGAGGTCACCTCCCACCCTGGGTGGAGAGAGGGGTAAGAAGGCACCATACTTGTTCTGCTGTCCAGGCACTCGCTCGCCGTTCCTCTCTACCAGCCACCCTGCCAGCCACTCGCCTCTTCGCCGGCTGTCACACTGGCTGCTCGCTGATCTGCCAGCCACTCACTGGTCTGTGGGGCGTCCTGCCATCCACCAGGATGTCTTCAGGCCCCACCATTTAACACAGCTCTCAGTGATTTCAGCTGTTAATAAGGGACCCTCACTGCTGGTTCACACTGTCCCAAACCATCAGAGACACTGTCCCAAAGCAGGTCTAATACTTAGACATAGTGTGATGCATGGCCAGAAAGGGTTAAACATCCTGCAGGATGAATGAAATTGAATCAAATTCAACCCTTACAGGCATATGGGGAGATAATATTTGTGTCTTTGTGTAGTTAAATATATATGGGTAGTGGTCAACAATGTAATCAACAATCCCTGTCTATGCTGTATTCCAGGGGTCTCAAACTCAAATGACCACGAGGGCCACATTACTGACACCTCCCCCCCGCCACCCTCGGCCCCGCCCCCACTCTACCCCTTCCATGAGGCCCCGCCCCTGCCCCGCCTCTTCCCACCCCTTCCCTGCCCTCATTCCAACCCCTTCCCCAAAATCCCCACCCCAACTCTGCCCCCTCCCTGCCCCCAGGGGGTGCAGGAGGGGTGTGGGGTGTGGCGGGGGCTCAGGGCAGGGAGTTGGGGTGTGGGGTGCAGGAGGGGTGCATGGTACAGCAGGGGGTCAGGGTGCAGGGTGCAGCAGGGGGCTCAGGGCAGGGGGTTGGGGTGCAAGAGGAGTGCGGGGTGCGACAGGGGGCTCAGGGCAGTGAGTTGGGATGCAGGAGGGGTGTGGGGTGAGGCAGGAGGTTCAGGGCAGGGGGTCGAGGTGCAGGGTGCGGCATGGGGCTCAGGGCAGTGGGTTGGGATGCAGGAGGGATGCAGGGTGAGACAGGGGGTTCAGGGCAGGGGGTTCGGCTGCAGGAGGAGTTCGGGGGAGCTGCAAGGGGCTGCCGCCGAACTGCCGCCACCGCGGAAACGCGTGTGCCGCCCTAACGGCACACGGACTGCCCCCGCTGTCTGCAGCGGCACTTCGGCGCGCTGCTTGGGGTGGCAAAAACAGTAGAGCCAGCCCTTTACCTGTCACAACTATGTCTGTAACAAACAGACACACAAAAATTTTACCCCAGGAGCAGAGCGTTCAAGAAATCCCAATCACAACCCAGTTCCTGTTTCTTTGCTCCCTTTCCCCCCTAACCCCCAGTCATCTCCCCTTCCAGCCAATACACCTGAACCCTAGCCCTCAGAGCCCAGGGATCCAGAGGGAGAAAACAGCCTGATGCTGGGTCCTGGCCTTGTATGGAGTTTCCTGCATGCCATTGCCTCCTTCCCTCAGGGTGTGTGGGGAAGGGCAGCTGCAGGGGACCCTCTAGCTCCCTCCCCTGCCTCCCCGCCCCATCCCCAGCATTGTCTTCTATATGCGAGCTGGACTCTGCTGGGTCCAGCAGCCCCTAATGGTGGCCAGGAGCACTGCAGCATATATCTGTGGGGGAAAGGAAATTCTGCACACACATTAATTTTTGCAAAATTATGCATCGTACAGTGGTGCAGAATTCCCCCACGAGTAAAAACTCCCATAGACCCAGCAGCCCATCTGATGAGCTGTAAGGGAAAGACCAAGGTTTACCAGGGGAAACGGGAGGATGGAGGTGTCCATGGAATGTGTGAGATCCCCATTGGTGAACTGGTCCCAGGAGCAGGCCGTAAGGGGGTCAGTCTAACTCAGTCTTCAACTCCACTGTCATTTGGGGGAACCCCCAAATTCTGCTCTCTCTGGGCCCTTCTCAGTCCTAGCTCCAGCCCTGGGCAGAGCTCGAGAGTGGAGCTGACTGACTTCCTGGCCTGCGCTCCTGTACAGGCGGTGATTGGTCTAACTGGGAGCAGCTTGTAGCATGCGCCCTGCTGAGAAATTATATAATATACCACTACTCAGAATTACGTACTCTCATGCTGGTAGGCTGGGCTATACACTTCAGAGCACAGGAGAGGCCCTTCCCTGCTGGGACGTGCAGGCTGGATTGATAATGAACTGCCTCAGATTCCAGCGGGCTTCTGGGTGAGGGGGAGGGGTTCCATTTTATACCTCTCTCTTCCAGGGCAATGTTGCAATGAAATTTGTTAATCTGCAGTGGGCAGGGAGACTGCAGTGGCTGAGCTGCAGGACTCAGGCAGCGTAGGCGGGGAAGCGGCACTCTGAAGTTTTGCCTAGGGCAGCAGATTGTCTTGAGCAGTCTCTGCTGAACAAGCTAGTTCAAAAAGGTTGCAGGGCCATAAGCAATACTTTGGGACATATTCTCTGCCCTAGTCAGCTCCCTTTATGTCACTCAGGTGGCCAAAGGCAGGGAACTCCTTCAGCAAGTCGCCTGTGTGGGGGAGGGAGGGGAGTCCTCAATAGGCAAGGAGGTTTTTGATAAAGATTGTGTGAAGCAGACAGGCATGCATATAAATCGAACCCCCCCCTCCCAAATTGCGATTTTTAGGAGGAAAAGGCTTTTTACTCTGACAGCGTTAAACTGTAACCTTTCAACAGGTTTTTTGGGTGTCAACAATACTGTTCAAAGATGATGTGCTGAGTACTAGAAAATAAAGGGGAAATGATAAGTGTCTGCCTGTAGAGCAGGAATATGGCCGAGACTGTATGATTGGTGTTTTCCTATGCCTTCAGTGCCGACTTTTTGGTAGCTCTGCATTTTTCAAATGATTGTTGAGTCAGCACTTTTTAGGCTGGTTGAAATTATACCTGTGAACTGACCCATAACTTCAAATGTCTCAAAAGACCTACCATCCTGCTGACTGACTCACTGGGTATATTTTTGGATCCAGGGGCTTTCCAAGCCTGAAGCTTGGAAAGCTAGGGATGTTCTTTGTTTGCATAAAGATGATGTACCTGGACCCTCGTTTGGTGATGCCAATGATTTCAGAAGACAAGTGCTCCATTCTGATTCACTTCCAAAGCTCCCTGAGAAAGTTCCAAGGGGAAGAACCAGCCAGGACACCATCTTCAAAGACTGAATGAAACGAAGAGAAATTGCAGCTGGTTTGTTTGCCTGCAAAAGCTGCTGACATGGCTGCTGGTCAGGGGCAGCTCCAGGCACCAGCGCAGCAAGCACGTGCCTGGGGTGGCAAGCCGTGGGGGGCGGCGTGCCGGTTGCTGTGAGGGCGGCAGTCAGGCAGCCTTCGGCGGCATGCCTGTGGGAGGTCCACCGGTCCCGCGGCTTCGATGGCAATTCGACGGCGGGCACTAGGGTGACCAGATGACAAAAATGAAATATCGGGACGTGGGGGGGTGCGGAGCAAAAAAAAAAAGCTGGAGTGCCCCTCTTCCCCGCCGCCGCCAGGCAGCAGTAGCACAGCCCCGTCTCCACCCAACTCTTGGCTTCGACCCCCGATACACCCCCGGCTCCCCCATCCCCTTGCTCCCAGGCCCAGCCTGGGCTCTGAGCTGTGCAGCTGAGCCGTGCTCCGGGCCCCTCCCGCAGCTCCCGGCCCAGCCGCTCCCGGGCTCCATTGCCCCGGCCCCGCAGCAGAGACTGCTCCGCTCCACCACACCTGGGATACTCGCCCCCGCAGCCCCGGGCAGCCCCTCTCTGGCCGCGGGGAGCTCGGGGACCCACCC